ATGCAGATAGTATGGGAGTACTCATGCAGACAGAATGGGAGTACTCATGCAGCCAGTATGGGAGTACTCATGCAGACAGTATGGGAGTACTCATGCAGACAGTATGGGAGTACTAAAGCAGATAGTATGGAAGTACTCATGCAGATAGCATGGGAGTACTCATGCAGACAGTATGGGAGTACTCATGCAGATAGTATGGGAGTACTCATGCAGAGAGTATGGGAGTACTCATGCAGGCTGATGGTCTGACTCTCCAGTGTAAACCCATCAAAGACCCATTCCGTCCTGGAATGTGGGTCTGTGTGTTTGTCCTGTCCTTTAAACTCATTTAAAGTCTGTCTTGTTTTTCATCATGTTAGATCATCCAACTTTCTCAAGGTGTTTTTGTTTTTAAAGACGCACTAGTTCTGACACTAAACCCTCTGATCTGTTAAACCCTGCAGGTTGTCCTGAGCTCGCAGAGTCCTCTTTGCCACGATGAGTTGGGGGGCACTTTATGCCCAGCTGGGGGGGGTCAACAAGCACTCCACCAGCCTTGGGAAGATCTGGCTGTCCGTGCTCTTCATCTTCCGCATCACTATACTGGTTCTGGCTGCTGAGAGCGTGTGGGGAGACGAGCAGTCGGACTTCACGTGCAACACGCAGCAGCCTGGATGCAAAAACGTCTGCTACGACCACTTCTTCCCCGTGTCACACATCCGCCTGTGGTGCCTACAGCTCATCTTTGTTTCCACCCCAGCTCTGCTTGTAGCCATGCACGTCGCCTACAGAAAACGTGGGGATAAGAGGACCATGCTGTCCTCCAATGGTACTGAAAACACAGACCTGGAGACGCTGAAGAAGAGACGGCTACCCATCACTGGCCCACTGTGGTGGACTTACACATGTAGCCTGTTTTTCCGGCTCATCTTTGAGGGTGGGTTCATGTACGCCTTGTACTTTGTCTACGATGGTTTTCAGATGCCCAGACTTGTGAAGTGTGAGCAGTGGCCTTGCCCAAACAAGGTGGACTGTTTCATCTCTCGGCCAACAGAGAAGACCATCTTCACCATCTTCATGGTGGCTTCGTCGGCCATCTGCATGGTCCTGAACGTAGCCGAGCTGTGCTACCTCATCGTCAAGGCCCTCATACGGTGCTTGAACAGGTCAAAGAGGAGGAAGCACGCCTACTCAGAAAATGTGACCCAGGATAACAAGAAGAACGAGATGCTGCTGTCGCCCTCCACAGATTCATCCAGCAACAAGACGATGTGCTGAAGAGCTGACAGACAAATGAACTGTAACATTTTCAGCTGAAAGGCTCTCGCAGCGTGAACTATTAGTGCAGAACATGCAACAGATCAGCTGTCCGGACGTTCTGTCTCTTATGGCCTTAAATTTGTTGTTCACGGCTGAATATTTCTCATCATGGTGGAGTTCAAACCGGTGAAAAAGTTTGTTTCTATACACACTCAGTCCTGTTCAGGGTCGTGGGGAGATGGGTTTACATCCATCAGTCACTGGGCAGGAGGTGGGCAGCACCCTGAACAGGTCACGAGTTCATCAAGTCCAAACAATCAGAACCAAAATTCAGCAGACTGATTCACAACTAAAGCCTGAACATGGACACACGTGTGGTCACTATTTTTACTGTATGTCAGTAATGACAGAATTGTCTTAATTCTAGCTGTTTTAAGATGTAGTGATCAACTCATTCAGACTAGTCTTTAGCTCATTAATCTACAGTGAGATATTAATTCTTCAGAATCTTTCTGCAGAACCTGCTTTAAAAGATCTGAATGACAGTTTAAGAGACTGGTTGGCTTTTTTTAAATGAAAATGATGCCAGTTTGCAGAAAACATGACATATATTTCAAATGTTTGGTCCCGAGATAAATGAGCCTGTACTGACATCTACTGGTGAGAGAAGGAAAGGTGAAGGTGAATGGTGTCCAGTTCACAGAGAAAGTTTGTTTCTAGTTGACAATAGCTGATCCAAACAGAAGGGTCTTGTGTAAATCAAGTATTTGCGTGTGAAGCTTTAATGAGGAAGTGTGTGTGTCCAGTTTAATAGACTGACCCTCTGCAGTCACATCAGGTTCATGTCTTCCTCCTTCACCTCCATGTGACGTGCTTCAAAACTCAACATATCTCTGTGCATGCTTTTTCAAACATACATGAACAAATCTAATTATCAACAGACAAAACATTTACTGTAAATTTGTGAATATAACTTTGAAATAATCAAAAGAATGTGACCAAATTTGAGGAAAGTGTAATATTCATTTCAAAATAATCCTTCGTGGTGAGCAGGAAGTGTTTGAGAAGGTAAAGTAGTGATGTGCTGTGAAGCTCTGCTCCTTGTTTTATCAGAGAACTTCAGTCTTCTGGATGTTCACATTTCTTCAGATGTTTTCTTCTCTTCCGGACTTTTGAGACCAAAGTTCGGCTCGTGTGCTTTTTGGATCTGTGTTGCAGGTCTGACCCCGGCTGTCTGTATCAGTATGTGCCTTATTTTAGCCGCTGCACTAATCACAGCTCTGCAGAGCTTCAAGTGAAAATCTGTGTCGTCCATCCACAGTGGGCGGACCAGCACAGATGGGTCAGTGGATTGAAACCAGACACCTCATCTGAGCAGAGGAACAATTCTGTTATTACACAATAACTGTTGGCTGTGTTTGTGTGTGTGTGTTTGTGTGTGTGTGTGTGTGGGGGGGGGGGGGTGCTTGTTCTTGGACCATCAGGTAGATGTATTAGTTCCAGCGTTCTAAAAAGCAACTGTTGAACGTCCGTGTCTGCTCGCACTGCTGCTCTCTGGAGGCCTTCGTGTGCTCAGATCGTTGCCATCCTGCCACAGCACACCCTCCAGCCTCACAATGATGTGGTCACAATCTGCCTCAGCATTGATGAACACACTGAATGTTTGTCATTGTGATGGTTGGTTTTATTACAATTACTTTTTTATTCCACCTTAATTTCTACAGGTTAGTCCTGTTTCAATCAAAGAACACAGATGAGGTGCACACGACAACAATCATATAAAATGAAAAAGTAAATAGAAGAAATGAAATAATGAAATAAAAACATTATAAAGTTTTGATCCTTGAACTTGTTTCTCTTGTTTGAAATCTTTTTCATAAATCAGCAAAAAACTAAACCGTGTGGTTCATTTTTTACTTCCAAAGTACGTTGAAGAGTATTAGTACCTTCTTCTTCAACGTTGCGCTTCTCTTCACCAGACTTCAGTTTGTTCTGGATTAAAGTCACTTTGTGTTTTTCTGGAACAGAGGGTGAACTGTTAGTTCACTGAGACAAAATGATGATGTAATTGTGCCTTGGTGAGAAAAGCTGCCATCACACACTCTGCTTGAACGCGCTCTGGAACGTCTCCAAGATGTTTCACTTTTGGAGACGTTTGAACACTTTTTGGTAACTTTTACGCACAGTTGGTATCCGGTGTTTTTGGGGAGGTTAGCGGGGGCGTGGTGTGCCTCCTGACAGCCTGATGACTCTATGGATCCACTCGTGCATGTCCACACAATGTGACAGTCCAGACATGGCTGGAAACGGGAGGCACCGCCGAACCACCGAACCCCATCTGCTCCAAGCGGCATCCGAAAACTAACAGGAGCTTTTACACGCACAACTTCCCGGGGCCGCGAGCGCGCCTGGATAGGTGCTTGAGTTTGTGGGACACCTTTGTAAAAGTTTGTTGAGGGTGTCAGAGAAGTGACCCGCCGGTCGGGGGGTCTGGGATCAGCAGGGAGGGTCGCCGCAGGAGGTCCACAACGATGGCGCCAGTGACGGCGGATGGATTTGCTTCCCGGGTTGAAGTGTGACATCTCTGTTTTAAAGGTATGACACTGAGGGTCCACACACATGTTTCTACACTTTAATGGGACTAAAGCAGACAAAGAGCGGGGTGTTATCAGATTAATTCAATTTTACTGGACAAGAATGAGAACAAAAGCTGCGGCGCGTAAAGGCGGTCTGGCACACTCTGCATTGTGAGTGACATGTGGCTCTGAAGCTGACTGCTCATCTTTCCTCCTAAATGCCACAGATACCAAGGAAATTTCAACAAGTTTGTGCAGATTTGTTACTAAAAGTCACCATGGAAAACGTTCTGAGTCTTCCTGCAGCATTATGCATCATCTCATGTGTTGTTTGAGGCAGAGTCTTCAGAAAAGAACCTGGTTTGTGGTCTGGGACTGAACAGTTTTACAAAATGTGCAGAAACTAAATGATTTGTGTGGCGGATGCTTTTCTCTCTCAGGTGTCACTCAGTCTGGTCCATGGATCTGTTCCTTCAGAACCAGAAGTTTTCAGTAAGTTTCTTCTCATCTCTGGTTTCATGTTCCAACATTTGAACCATATTGTCTCACTGTTTGAAATGGATCCGTTTCAAATACAAAACTACTTGTTTTGAACAAACGTCAGTTTTTCAACGACAGACAGTTCTACCTTCATTTATCTGTGAACCCATAAATAAAACATTCACACATCTAATGATTTCAGCTTCTAACACTGGTTTACTAATTGGTTTTTGTATGTGAATGTTTCTGTTCAGTGCCTGGAGACGATTCTGTTGTGACTTGATGCAAATCAACTGAATCTAATTCAAACACTTGTTTTATTTCAGGTTGGTTTAGAATCTGTTTGAACTCTTTAATCAGCAGAAAGTTTGTTTGAATGCATCAATTTGAGTCCTGATGATTTTTTAATAAAGTTTTTTTAGTGTTTTAAAATAAATGACTTCAATGGTTAAAGAAAACTATTTTAAATATGATTCTTTGATAAAATATGTTCTATTTTTAAGTCTTCAAACTGAAAGCCCCTCCCTTTTTGAAATATAGAAGTAGTTACAAATTTACATTTGACATAATTACATTTATAAAAAGTGTTTTTGGATTTGATTCATGCAGGTTCAGGCTGCCAGGGGTTGAGGAATGAAGGGAGGGTTGCAACTGTGTGTACATTAATGTGTGTGTGCACGTGTGTGTGTGCACGTGTGTGTGTGCCACAGCAGAGCCCCATCTCGTCTAAATGCTGTTTTCGAACGTGATAGTGTTGATCTCAGCACATGCCTGCTGGGCAGCGGAGCGAGCACAGAAAGGATGAGCTTCAGTCATACAGGTGGTCTGTACAGTACAGCCAGCTGCTGAAACAACATCTGTATCTGAAGTGACAGCTGGCCGTTGTAACGTGTGACGCCTGTGTGGCACATTTTAAACAGATTTATTACAAAAACAAATAAAGTGGACTCCAGAGTGCTGACTTGTCTAAAGTCATGTGTAACTCAGGGTAAAGCATCTTTGCTCCTCGTTCTACATTTACACTCGTTTGTAACACTGACTTCTTCTCTCTGCTCCTTCCTGTTCCATCCTGCTCCATCCTGCTCCATCCTGCTCCTTCCTGCTCCATTCCTGTTCCTTCCTGCTCCTTCCTGCTCCAT